TTTTCATTAAATATTGTACAGATGAGGTTAATATTTAGAAAATTAAATAATCAAATACAAAAAAAAAACGAAATAAGAACTGCACAAGAGATAGGACACTTAAGCAAAGCCAAGGCGAATGGAAAAGCTGACTGACCAGGGTAGAAACATAGCCAATGAGCCAATTCCTTGTCCTTGAAAACTAATTCAGCGCCAAACTAAAACACCTCCTTCTTCTTTGTACATTCGCTTTACTGAGATGGTATTTATAAGTTAAATACATTTAAACATGAAAAATTTCTAATGAATGTTTCAAGATATACTTTTCTTACTACGCAACATTTATTTATATTTGTACGCGCATTTCAACTGCAGTTAATTTCAAAATAGCGAAGAACTACTTTTCAAAGGCGGAGTATTACATTTCCTACCTTTCTCTCCAGTGCCAACTTAAGGTAGAATGGACTATAGTTAGTGGTATCCGTTCACAGCTTTAATTCTGGTGGGGCAGTACTGTAGTGTATCTACCACTACAAAAATATAATTCCAAAAATATAAAAGTATTGTGATCTTAATACAGCTCTCCCGACTTCTCACAAAATAGCAATGAATCAATTAGTTAGTGGTATCCGCTCACAGATATAATTCTGGTGGAGGAGTACTGTAGTGTATCTACCCCTACAAAAATATAATTCCAATTCACTTGTATACAAGACAAGTTAACTCGATTCTGTGATTGGGTACCTTTTCATAGATGAAGGTCGACATAGTCTATAACTTCTCTCCCCACAAATACATCGAATTTTTTATGCTATAAAATATTAAAAACATCTCTCTTTAATTTGTTTGATTAAATTTTATTATTTACCACAATTTATGCCTACTATAGGATATATTACTTCAATATTAAAATACTGTTTATTTGATTTCCATTTGACGCAGGTCCGTAACTAAACAGGAATCAGTAATTGAGGCATTTGTTTCTGCAATTTATTTTTATTGCTAAATAAAATGACAAATTTCGATGAGTGAAACACACTGATGGAAAATGTATGTACAGTACAGCAGTATACAATGTAAATATAAAATAGACGCTAAATTCTACTTACTTTTATATTCCACTCATCGGGGAATTGTTGTTTTGATGTTGAGTAAAGTTTTATAACTTTATTATTTTCAGAATTACTTAAAATGAATTAAATTATGGAGATAACTTTATGAAATTCAATTTTTATGCTCTGTTTAGAATTTATGTCTTCACAATCGAGCATTTTGTTTTCTTTGAAAAAAATTAGAGAAAAATTTGAAAACTCAATGAACAAGCTATTTATGCAGTGTAATTAAAAAACAAAAAGTTCACGTAAAAACTGATATTATGCTAACAAAATTCATAACTTTCAAGAAAACGTCGAGGGAAATTGTATAATTTAAAGCATATACTAAAAATCAGGAAAGTAACTAGCCTTTTTGGAAAAAGAGTTTTCTAAAAAAATGTTCGTAAAAAAAATTCTGAAATAAGAATTAAAAATCTAATTTTTAGAGCAATCTTCATTTTTCCATACTCTTTTATGTTGTCGAAAACGTTTTACACATTCTTAATTGAGTAGCTGCAAAAATCTGCTAAATTTAAAGATTTAGGAGTTTTTAATAACAGCTTATGAACCCTAATAAATGTTGCTGCCACACGAAAAAAAAAATTAAAGATTGGTATATGTTACATTGTTAGGAATTTCACTTACAAAAAACTGTAGCTAAATATACATGTAGCAGAAAATAAATTCGAACTTATTGTGGCATCAGAATTTTTATGAAGAATAATCAATCAATACATAGCTTTTTTTTCTTTCACAGAAAAGTTCGGACGATTAATGTGTGCAATTAAAGATGTCATTGTAAGCTTTTAAACACAGAAATACTTTTGTTTAAGTTTATGAGAGATTTTTTTTTTCAAATTTAAAAATATCATGAGAAGCCTTTCTTTATTAATAGGAAAAAATAACAATCCTTACATAAAAAACTTTTAGAAAATAATATATTTATTTATTTTGCACTTATTTTCAAATTCAAACAAAAGTGAAGAAATTGTAAATGATTGAGTGAAAAAATTATTTAACTAGCTAAAATTGATGTTTGAATTAGCAAATAAATGTAAGTTTGAATTTTGAAAAACAAGCACAATTTTATTCATACAGCTTTTTTTTTAAATGCTAATTTGATTTTATTAAGATTTAAAAAATGCAAATTATGGCAGTTTTGAATCTCGAAATTATAAACAAGATATTTCAAATAATAATTTTGAAACAAAGGTACTGATTAAAGTTGCGAATTGTTTCAACTACGCATTCTTTACTAAATGAAGGAAGAAAAAAAAGTCAGATTTTGATAATTAAATGAACTTTTAATTTTAAATGATCCACTTTTTAATTATTTATTTAGTACTAGCTGCTGAAAAGTTTTAATTTTGGTCATAATGAGTGCTAGTTGTAATATCTCGGTTAAAACAGTTTAGAAAATTGAAATCTATAATGTTATGCCAATTTTTTTAAAAAACTTTTGACACAAAGTAACCGAGGCGGAAAAATTTGAACCAAAATTTAATTTTTAAAAAAATGAAATTTTACACTTCAAATAAAATTATATTTTAGATTTTAATCAGTAATTTAATTGTTGAACTTTTTGGGCATATATAGAAATTTTTCTACCATGAGCTACCTACTTTTTTGGTTACAAGCTTTTGAATTCTCACAGCTTGACTTGAATTATATTGTTAAATATTATATGTTTTTTTATTAAGTTAAATTGTTTTGTTTGAGATTCTTAAATAATATCAACAGTCAATAAATGTTTTGAAATATGGCTTATATGGAAAATCATACCATAACAATAACAAACAATATAAAAAAGAAGATATATTTCTAACTAAAGTAAAAACATGAACAACAAATATTTTGACTAATAATAAACATAATATACAGGAAAACGTTATATACAAAAGATATATATTAAGTACCAAAATGACTCTGCTTAGCAAAAAGAGTGCAGAGTTTCATCTGCACAATAAAGAGCGTTTTTTATTTTTTATTCATTTTTTCAAAACTTTTTTTTTACGTTGAATGTCAGTTTTGATCTGTGCTGAAATTTCAAATTTTTTTTCCTCTTTAATTTTCTTTCACTTACTGAAACACAATTTAAAGGCATATAATTATATGAAAACTCAATATTAAAAAAAATAATAATAAATTGGGGGGGGGACTTTAATAAATATAATTTTGTTTCGATAACAAAATATACCTTAATAAATGAGAAAAATTTCAAAATAGTTTTAACTTTTCTATTTCTTATACGAGGCTCATGCTACAACATGTTCAACTCTTACTACAAAAAAATTATGATTTTTTGTTTTAGTACATTTTTTTCTAAGGAATGATTTCTAGTATATTTAGTACAGCAGTGTTTCCCAAACTTATGACTTTTGTGTAACCTTTCTAAATTTTACGTAACGCTGCGTATCACTCATAAAAAAATGAATGTATTTTTTACAATAAAAAAAAACTGTACAGAAGTTAAAAATCACAACTGGCTGTTGACACCACTCATTATTAACTGTTAACTCTGCAAAAAATAGCCGATAGAAAAATACGTTATCGTAGATTTTCATGGCTAGCTTTGCTTTTAAATAAGAAATTTTGAAATTTCCGTTTGTTGCAGGATAATTTGCATAAGAACGCGTACCCCCCGCTAAACTGTTCCCGTACCCCTGGGGCTACACGTACCACACTTTGGGAAACACTGTAGTACAGGATTTAAAAAATTTTTTTTTGTAGAAAATTGAAGAAAGTGATTGGCATTGTTTATTTGAAATGAACCATTTTGTGTCATTTTAAAAAATATCTTAAATTGTTATTTTTAGGATTTTGAATCGTTATTTTAACAGAGAGAGATTGCGAGGGTTAAGTATATTCAACTCTTGCACCAAATTACAGCTGTGTGAAAATTTTGCAATCTTTCTTAATTGTTTTTATTGTAATTTCAAAATATGTTATGTAATAAGTGTGCTTTAAATCATAGATTGTTAATCAACGGAAAATAATTGCAACTTTCATTAGTAATCAATGCAAGAGTGGATTGAAAAAATAATCATTAATAATTAGGCAGTGGCAGTCGTATATTTTTAGTATAGTTAGTGCAGATCAAAATGAATTGGTAGAGCTGCCAATTTCTTAGTGAAGCCGTTAAAAAAAGCTCAGAAAAGAGTCTTCATTTACTGCGCAGTGTCATAAACATGTCCTTTACTTTTCTTTCTTTTCATGGAGGAGGGTTTTGCAGGAAGGGGACGATCCTTCATGTTCTGAAAATGAAACAAGAGTTGAAGAAAATATTTGTTTAGACTCCGATTAGTAAATAAAAAAAAAGATTGTACGAAAATTATTCAAATATTGACAAATATGGAAAAACAAATATTACTCAAGCAAATATTATGACACTTATTGAAGTAATACTTCTTATGCGACTCCAAACAAGGTTGCGTTAAACGTATAACGCTACATTTTTACTGGCCGTGAAATCACGTGGTAGGATCCAGTTTTCCCTCATTCATTTCCATATTGTTTTGGTTCTCACTAGCATAAAAATAATAAAAGTATTGTTTTTCTATAAATATTTTTTTAGTTTGATTTGATACACATATAATTTGATAGGGTAGTATCTTTTATTTTCAAATTTAGTGGACAACAATTGTAAAAAATGAGTTGAAACAATCCCACGGACGATGCGACGAATTTAAAGTTATGCCAAGGTACGTCTCTTGTGAATATCAATTGATTGTTTCTCTTCTGAAATTACATTATGACGCATTCACATACATTATTAATACATATACAATACATTTTCCAGGACGAGACGATAAGGCAACCACAAGCACTTCCACTGGTTCAAGAGGTCCACGAGGGAAAAATGCACAATATTATCGTTATTACAGAGCGCGGAAGCGAGCGGAGCAGGAAAAAGAGTCGTTGAATAGAGCCTTCTACGACTGCTGATTCCTCTACAATTAACGTCGCAGGTTACGAAGTTTAACTTCTTCCGTGCGAACTCCACGCACTATTTTTTTATTTAAATTTTAACTTCTCACAAACTTGTAGTTTCTAATGCTACCAATAAATACCAGCAAGCCTGCTTGGTGAAACCAAACTTTATTAAATGCAGAGGGGTGGCACTCGTTTCTCGGTGGCGCCCTCTATGACCAAGAATACGACTTCAGCCACACACGCGTCACTGCCCGTTTATAGGGTGGAGGCTACCATACATTCATTCATTGGTCCACAGATCGTCATTTTGACCTGAACCAGAGAGTGATCCATCTCCGATTCGGTATCCACAGAGATATGATTTTTTAGGGGAACAAGGAGGACTTGGTAACACAGCAGATCTAACGTGCACCGGTCTCCATTTACTACACGTGGAGTCTTCAGCCGGCGGGGATCTAACTAATGACCCCTTGGACATGAGCCCAACGCTCTGTTAACCAGGCTATCCTGGTCACTCAGACTTAATTTACCTCATTTGAAGATTTCTGAGCTAGACGTTAATAAATATCACTATGGGTGGTTGACTGAATGTAAAGAATAGCAATCTTCCTAAAACCGGAAAAAATTTACATAACTTCCGGTGTATTCGTCCACTTACGTTCTGCTTACGAGGCAATGCGTGAATAGGCGCTTCATATTCTAGGTCTCAACCTTTTTTTTTGTTGCGGCACATTTTTAACGATTTCGAAATTCGACGGCACACAATGAAAAAAATTAGATTAAAATTTGTTTAATTACCTATTTTACACTGTGTTAAATAGTTTGTGATAATAATTTTGAATGTGAAATGAAATGAATTGTACTACAAAAGCACAATGGGGATTAATTATTTCTCTCTACCAACAAAAGGGATTAATTATTTCTTTCGACCAATTTTTTTATTAATTATTAATTGTTAGCTTGTTTTCTATAAATATTAACTGCTTTTTTGTGATTTCTTGCTAACTAGTTTTTTTGCTAATTATTAATTGTTAGCTTAATTTTTGTTAGTTATCCTTTGTTAATTTGCTTATTAATTGGATAGCTTACGTTAATGATTAGCTCTTGCAATATTTTTTTAAAATAGTGTGTCATATACAATTTAAACACTTCCATCTTATTTTAAGATTGTCAGAGACAATACAATCGCCGACAAAAATGTTCACGCGGTTAAAGAGTGGAAAAATTAGAAAAAGTATGTATATATATATATGCACTTTTCTTTAATTTGAACTTTACTCACAATAAAAAAAATCATTATAATTTTTAGTGTATCATTTCTTATATTTGGCTGCACATTTTAAAAATTTGGCGGCACACAAAAGTGCCGCTGCACAGTGGATGAGAATCACTGTTCTATAGGTAGCTTTATTATTGTGATTTTTGTTAAAATTTACGCCTACCATTACGCCGTTATATTAACGATATTTTGAGTGTGTTATTCCTTATTTGGCTATATTTGTGAAAAATAGCACCTCTTGTTACTTTTAGGGGAGCATCATAGCAAGCTTGTGAAGCTCATTTTCCGTTTGTTTCGTTGAAAGTTAGATTGGAAAAAAACGCGTTATATTGGAAACACTACATGCATGATAATATTGGATGGAGCATTTTTTCAAGCCCAGACGTAAAAATCTGACCCTGATCTCGTATCACAGTGGACTGATCGTAAAGAGATGGTTCCCAGTAGAACACCGAAGTCAAGCATCACTGGCTGCGGTCAGTGTGGGGGTGGGTGACCACTTGGATCAATCTGCGTAGGGACAGAGGGTGTGCGGTATGGGTCCTCGTTAAACTGTTCTATCGTAAAGTGCTGGACTTCACGTGCAGGTCATCGGGCTACAGAAGCGGGGGTACCATCCTCTCAGCAGAGGATCAAAATTGTGATGGCATGTCTTCGGATCATCCACAGGTATGTTTCCCAAACCGTCGCCCATAGCCCATTGTGCAGCTCTAGTGTGGCGTAAATGAACAATAACAACAACAACTGATACTGATCCTTTACGATGAATTTTAACCACCCCTAACGTCATTTGTGCTTAGCTTTCAACCAACCATTCCGAACCTCAGGGGATAGAGCGTTCACCTTCCAATGAGGTAAATCGGGTTCGAATCTCACCGATGGCAGGTCGATACGAATTCCGCACCTGGCTCGCTCCCTTCAGAGTAGCTGTGGGAGTTGTTTTCCTCCCCATGCAACGCAACTGCGGGTTAATTCCACCAAGAAAAAGTCCTTCAAGACGGCTCCCAATACTTGATCCAGGAGTGTTCTGGATTAGGTTAGGTTTCCTTTCAGTTACTATCAGAAAGCGTTTAACCTTACGCCAACCTTGCGTCGGAATTTTCTTTTTATTGTCAGCACTAAAAACCTTTTTTCAATAAAGCAGAAACATTGCAGTTTGAAACCTTTCATCCTCAAGGAATTAAAAATTATTTTAAAAAAAGGATAGTTACTTAGGTTGCTGAGCATTTAAGATATTGAGAAGAGAAACCTTACCTAGATTTATGATTATTTTCACCTTAAGACTAGCTTTATTCAAGTATTTTTTTTTTTCACTCTTGAAAACCCTAAGACTACTCTTGAAAACCCTAAGACTCGATTTTATCGAAGGTTTATATAGAAGGTTGTTTTCTAAGGTTTTAGATTAGGGTGATGTGTGTAGAATAGAACAGATTGTCACAGATCTTGTTTAAAAGTTAGAACAGGGGTTTCCAACTGGCGGTTTTTTTGAGGCCCGCGAACTAAAATATATTAGTTGTCATTTTTTTGCGGACAATTTTCGTAAAAAATATATATAGTTTTAAAATACTCTTCTCGTTAATAAAAACCTTATTTCTTCGTTTCTGTGAAATTTATCATACCAACGGTGCAAAAAATAATTATTTCTCATTTTTGCATCCAAGAAAAGATTTATTCAAATACAAAAATAGTCGTGTATGTTGCTTTTTTTCATTTCATTTTTTTTTGTATTTTGTGAATATAATTTAGTATCTGAAATTTTCTCGAAGAAAAACTTTTTGAAACCACTCATTTTGAACGAAATTATTAACACACACATTTGTAAATTTAAAATATAAATATCTATTCCCTGGTGGTTGCAGCAGACAAACCTCAATTTTCTCATTAAATATTTTGTGTGATACTATGTAAGTTTTAATACCAACCATTTTAAGGTTTTATATCTTAACAATTTGATATCTGTTGCACATTAATTGTTTAATACATAGGTGCACATTAAAGTTATTGTAGCCCGAATTTTTTTAATTTATGTAATATTTAAAAAAATATTATTAATAACAATTAAATATTTCTAAAAATCTCTTGTAATTCAATACTTTTGTTTTGTACAACTTGGTAAAAATCTGACAGTAATATTTAATGTTCCTTCAAACATAAAAGTCCCTACATAAAATTTTGACAAAGTTGCGGCCCGCCATTTGATTTGTGTTTTTAATTGTGGCCCCCAGCCACATGTAAGTTGGAAACCCCTGAGTTAGAAGGTTTACGCGTAAACCGCATAAAAGTCCTTTTTAGGTTTAAAAAGGTTTTGGATGAGTGAAAATAAACCTTATTTTTTCCATCTGGGTAGTTAGTAAAGTGATACTCACTCCATGCATGAAAGCCTTGAGTTCTTGTGTGGCTTCCTCGAGCCCTTCTGCAGGTATAGTAGCATAGGAGGATCCGAGAGTTCCAGGCTCGGCAGGCAAACGGGTTTTGTCTATGTCGATGTACCTTTGAGTAGAGGCGTTGTAAGGGAAAGGTTTTCCACCTTGTAAGGCTGCAAAATTAAAACTGTGTGTAAAGTGTACAGGACAAATACTGTAAGGGAAGGCGCATGAGAAGGATTGAAAGCGCGTGATCTTGTTACATAGCTGAGTTAACTGTCAAAACAGATCCCATTTGACTCTTTTTTAATCTTAAAAAAAATTTAAAAAAAAGATGAATAGACGAACAAGAATGGCGTTATTAGTGATCGAAATAGACTGCAGGTGCACCTATGGCAACACTTCGCATGCTGGCACCATTAGCGTGAGGAAAGTCATAGGAGAAGGGAGTACGACAGCTTCTCTCTTGATTTTCAAGTAGATTAAAAATTTTTATGCTGGAAACTGTAAGGAATGGGAAAATTACACTGAACACAGTTCCAAAAAAAGCGACACGGAAATTAAAAAAAAAATATTTGTGACAATTAAATATGAAAAAATTTAAGAAATACACCACTAGGAACTGGGGAAGAGAGAAAGGGGGAGGGTCAAAACATGGAATTGCTCATTCGAGCGTTGCGCTCTCGAACAGAATTAGTTGAACGTCTTTCCTGGCTTCGATGATGAGGCAAATATTTTCAAAGGTAATGAAACAGTGATACCTCTAAGGTCGCCTTCTCATTATGTACCAACTGTTCGTACGCATTTGAAATGGTACTTTTATGTCTCTAATTATTTCTTTTGATTGACGCATTCAAAAAAGCTAAAAAAATAGATGTTTTGTTAATATTTTATGATTTGGCTTCTAATTCTAATTGATTAAATTACGACAAGGCAGCTATTTCCTGGATTATTTAGAACCGATTTTCGACCAGCATCATTAGAAAATATAGAATTAATAAGAAAAATTAAAATTATTTAGATAAATAAAAATATTCGTTAAAATGTGCATGAGCGGCAAATCCATGATGAAAAAGCGCCTTCTACCGGTGTTCGATAACATTTCAGGTCATGGGTTATGGTGAAATTTTCAATCCTTATGACGTGACCTTCTCTTTATAATTTTGACCATTGCACCTTGTATATAAAAACGATAATTCAATTTATCAGTGGTTTACACATACAACAACTGATTTAAATAAACACAAAGATAATAACTAACCTCGCTCGAGATTATTTCGAGCTTTGGATTTCTTGTAGTAGATGATGACGACGATGGTCACCACGATGAAGGCCAGGATGCAGGCTGCGACGGGGACAATGACGGACAGGTCAACATAGGTGTCAGTGTTGCCAATCACAAAACCTGAAAATGGTTTAGATGGTCAATGGGAATATTCTTTGTGCAGATAGAATAGATTACTGTCCATACTTTCATCCTTTTCAGTACCATGGTTTCGGGAAAATCTTACTTTTTCTCCGCGGCAGTACGTTTTAGTAGGAAACCGGAATGTACTTGAGGAAAAAGTAAGATTTGACGAAACCGTGGTAAAGGAGAGGGGAAGAGTATGGAGAGTGGGAAAATCACTTTATCTCGAGCAGCCTATTCTATCTACAAAGAATACAGCGTAGAATAACCTTTTAATATCGGAGCAGCATGTATTTAATGTATAAACGAAAATTATGATCGAAATAAAATGAAAATTATTAGATATTACTTTTAGATTAATAAACATGTACTATTAATAAACATGTATACATACTATCTAATTTAAAGACGTACTTTGTTTTCTTAACTGCCTAAAGTATCATTTTCTGTGTTCAGTAAGCGGTGGAGTGACTACTTTGATCAGCCTGCGTAGGGTTAGAGGACGCGCGGTATCGGTCCTCGTTAAACTGTTCTACCGTTATGTTCTCAAATCAAAATTGCGATCCATGTCTTCGGATTATTCTCAAAGATGTTTCCCAGACGGTCGCCAATAGCCCATTGAGCAGCTCTAGCCTCGACGTAAATAAAGTACCAACCCGCCTATCTTAACTGTATAATTTTTTTAATCCATTATGCTCAAAATTTTGATTTCCGGTGACTGAGTGGTAGCGCTTCTCGTTCGTGTGCCACAGGTCCTTGGTTCGATCCTCGGGCCGGGCAAGGTTGACTCAGCTTTTCATCCCTTCAAAGGGTCGATAAAATGAGTACCAAGCATGCTTCGGGATTCTAAACTCTGGGGGTTTCGCGTTCGGCTGGCCACCCAATCGGAACATCTGCTTTTGCACCCCGGAGCCCAAGGACAAGAAAACTGAGGTGGGCACAGTAGGCCTTGGCTTTCTATGTGCTGTAGCGTCAATGAGTTTAGTTTTAGTTTTGTATGCTCAAGTAATTTTAAGTTCGTAAAAGATCCCTGGAGTGCCTTATTGGCTCTTGGCATTTCCGGCAAAATTAAATTCCTAGTGCACTGTATTGAGTATAGTAAAGTGCGGCGTGCTCTCTGCATTTGCTTATTGCACTGCGTTTCAATAGGTAAGGCTTAATTTAGCCTATCAAGATTTATATGAGCTCTGAGGCTCTTCTTCTAATTCCTTAATCAACATTAAATCCCCAAGTGCACTTCATCATCCAAATAAGAGTCTTGGTGCTGCCATCTAGTGTGGCAGAAACTAGACGTCCAAATTAACATGGCCAACGGTATCTCACCCATTGTGGTGGTCCTGAAAGAGTGGATACCACTTCTGGAGAGGTCGGCTCATCGGGAAGACTGATTGTGCAGCTCATTGGAAATATAAAAAAAAAACTTGAAATAATGGACGACAAATTTTGATGATAAAATGTTAACGTATATTTCAATCTATGGAGGAAAAACGAAACGAGTATTTTCAGTTTGAGTTCCTAACATTACCTTTGACAGAAGTGGTGACAGTTGTGGTTTCACTTGCTTCTCCATTCCCATACTGATTGGATGCTGTAATGTATATTTTGTAAGGCGTTGCACTCTCCAGACCCGTTATTGTGAATCTATTCTTGCTGCTGGATGCAATGATGGGGATGTGGTACCAATCACTTCCCTCTTTCTTGTAATGGAGGGTATAACCTGCAAATACACCTTGCTCTATTAATAGAACCGATGCTTTACTATCTAACTCATGCCACAGAAATTCACTAAGAATCATTCGGTAGGATTACATTATAAAATCGGATGCATTCGCAATATTTTATATTTGTATATCTAATATATATAATTCTCTTACGTGGCTCCCAAATTTTGGCTGTATTTCTTTTCCGCCGGTGGCAGCGTTTGCTTTGTTTTGTTTACGTTACTATTTCTCTTACACGGCGAATCGACCCATGATTTGCCGCTGAAAATGTCACATGTCAAATCTAGCTGAGGCGGCTCAACATATAGCGCTTTTAAAAACGGAAACTGAAATAACCTGAGAGAGCATCAGCTGAGGCAATCTCATATTATTAAGCTACAGGCAGAAGTGAGTAGTCTTTGTCGATAGATCTTTATTTTAGTATTTTGTCGAAAGCGCTTTTTTTCACGAATTTATATATTACGAATTTATTTGACGATTTTTGATTTATATCACGAATTATACTATAGCACATTTCTAATAGGTTTAACGAATTACATGCCATTTATTTGAATTCAAATTTATTTTAATGACTTAGTATTTATTAAAAAGATGTAATTTCTTTTTTTAAAAAAAAGTTGTTATATGGATTTGAATGATTGTTTTGAATTCTTAGAATTTCGTGTAATTGCAATGTACCTAAGTTAGTAGCGAGCGAAGCGAATCAAATCATATAAGAGTGCGTAGCAATTTTCGGGGGTTGGCGAGCGTAAGGGAGCTGGGGGCGCAGCCCACTAGTTTATTTTATTTCATGTATGATACTGAATAGCCGATTCACATCAGAATTATTATTTGTTTAAGTATGCAGATTTGTCATCTCGAACTTAACCTAGAAAACAACTTTATGATGTTTTATATTTGTAATTTAATTTATCAACTGTGTTGGTAAAACAATCCATATCCAGAATTGCGGCTTTACTACTGTTCAACCACCAATGTATTCTGCAATGGATGACTGCGCATGTCGGCATCCCTGGAAACGAAGAGGCAGATCAACTTGCCAAGGAAGGGAGAAATCTCAATAATGAAGTCTCTCTCTTTCGAGCCCTGCTTTTGAGTTTCACTAAAAAGAAAACTTCAAAAATCGCTTATGGTTAGACTAAAGGCAAGGTCATTCCAATCTATGATGCGTAGAACCACTACTCACGTTCAACTAAGTAGCCTTGTCATTTTGAACCCAATCCAGAAGACGAGGGAACTCCTGGATCATGTAGGGGGAGAAATTTGTTCAAGTGGAGGACTTTTGAATGGATCAACCCGAATTTGCGTTACATAGAGAGGAAAACCACGAAGAATTCCCACGGTCAGTCTGACGGCAAGGGGACTCTAACCCGTGATCCGTGTACCACTGAGGATATTTTACGGCAGTACCATGTTATGGAGAGAAAATGAAGAAAATTTATAGAGTCTTTGTGGCTTGTGATATATTAGCTATCGACATTTGGTGTGTGTGAGAGAGAGATAAAAACAAAGTTTATGGTACATAACCCTTACGAAAATAGGTTTAAATAACAGTATATTCCGTACTTACCAGTAACAGGTATATTTCTGGAAGGTGGATCTCCCCACCTGAGACTTATTTTTGACTCTGATGCTGCTACAACCGTGAAAGCAGGTGCTTCTGGTACATCTGAAACACACAAAAGGTGGCATAAAAAAATAAAATTCTAAAATTAAACCAACCAATGAAATTAATAATAAAATAACTAACAACGCTTAGCTAATCGTAAAACTAAAGCTTAATAATTTTTTTTCAATTTTTTTTACGATGTTTATATTTGTTACAAAGTTAACGCTAATAGGATTAACACTAAATGCGGGCATTCAGTACCGAGTGACACAAAAATTTCTAACGATTTAAAAAAAATCAATTAAAGTAACATGAAAACAGATAAAAATGTAGTTTGCTGCGCTCTGTTTCGGAAACAGGAATTTTTTATTTTCTCTAAGTTTTAATAGTGGTTATTGTTTATTCTTATCTCAACCCGCCCTATTCAAGGGCACACGAGAGTAGAACATGCATTCTACAGACAAAACATACATTAAACGTACATAAAACACATAAAATTACAGCAAGAATAAATGGCTTATACAGAGAATAGAAAATGAAGCTGAAAACAACGTCAAAAAATTTTTAAGGTAAGAATAAAAAATTTTGTAACTGGAAAGCATTCTAACTGTTAAGAAAAATAAAAGGGAAATTTAGAAGAGAAGAGAAAAATTCTAGACTACAATAAAGAATTATTATTATAATTTTTTTTTGAAAAATAAAAAAAGAAAATTATTATTATTATTTTTTTTTAAATAAAATTTTTAGAAATTGAATCCAAAACAAGAAAGTCTATTAGTTCAGTGGGTTCCTGCCCATTGCGGGTTTAAGGGCAATGAAAATGCAGACTACATAGCAAAGAAGGGGGCCTTAGTTATTCCGACTTCTGTACACATTATGCCCTTCTGTTCCATCAATCAGCTTATTAAGAGGACCTTTAAGACCTGTGCTCATGAAGAACTTATCGACCTACTAAGTCTTGGAGGGCTACCGTCCTAAATTTGCGAAATGGCCCAAGACGGTGGTTGAATTCCGCTTGGCCACCGGTCATGACAGATGTTTATATGCACTCTTATTTGCCCGATATGCACTCTTTGCAGTTCTGGCGAGGACACGGATCTTCTCCGCTGCTCTGCACTTTGCAAGAACTCTATCACTGAACGCTATTGGGGAGCTAGAGACATGCTGTGATTAATAGACTTTGTTGCAAATTTTTTTGTTTCCGTTCTTATTTTTATTCGATGTTTATGCATGCTGTTACCGTCTATTATCTGCCATTGGAAATAAGAAAAAAAAATCATCATCAGTGAAGCATCGTTATTATATATATTAGTATTCCTTTTAAAAAATAAAATTAAAAAATGACTTGTTGTGAGGAAAAAAAAACGCCATCGGAATTTGACGAATTACTGAGGAAAGTGTGAATAAAAAAAAATTAAAACTCGTTTGATAGCCGGATGAAACACGGGGGTGTTTTTAAAACCGCCTTTTGTCCATCTATGAAACAAGGATTTGATGTTTTCAGTCTCCCCACCGTCAGTAGTTATTTGTGTTTACCTTTCTGATTCGATTGTTTACTTTTTGCACATGGATTCTGAAATTATATATTAAAACTAATTCTTACGGAACTGTTATCTTTCGACGAACTCTAAATACATTCACTAATTATTGCTGATGATAATCACAAAAAAATAACAAAAACGTTCTTTATATAGTTAAATATCCATCCTGATTTTATGGTGCTAATTATGACTATAATGAGAGAATGAAAGTGTTGTGCCGATTATATATTTAGTTCGATTATCTATTTAGACCTATTATCTATTTAGACCGATTATCTATTCAGGCCGAATATCTATTCAGGGCAGGCCACTTCAAGGAAATTAAGTAGTTCAACATATTTCATGGGAAATATGTTGAAATACTTAATAATACTTAAAATATACTGAAATACTTAATGCTATATGTAAAAAATTTGAATTTTTATGTCTCCTTTACCGATTTTTTTTTAGGTGCTAGATTTGTGTTGCTTAAGAGGTTTTAAAAATTCAACTACTTAAAATATTTCAGATTATTACATAACTGCATTTGCTTTAGGGTATCTAAATTAATTAATTATTGCCTTAAGTTATCTTACTTAATTAATTATTGCTTTAAGGTATCTTACTTAATTAATCATTGCTTTAAGGTATCTTACTTAATTAATTATTGCTTTAAGGTATCTTAATTAATTATTGCATGAAGTTATCTTACTTAATTAATTATTGCTTTAAGGTATCTTACTTAAGTTAAATTTATCTGGCTGGAAGGTACTGAATCATTTTGGGATAAATAATTGCACAGGTTTTTCCCTCCCGCCATGGACTGATCATAAAGACTCTGTTCCCAGTTAAACACTGGCTGCGGTCAGTAAGCGGGTGGGTGACCACTTTGATCAGCCTACGTAGGAACCGAGAGTGAGCGGCATCAGTCCTCGTTAAACTCTTCTACCGTTAAGTGCTTGATTTCACGCAGGTTATCGGGGTACCAAATAGGAGGAGCCGTCCCCTCTGACGAGGATCAAAATTGTGATGTTTCCCAGACCGTCGCCAATAGCCCATTGTGCAGCTCTAGTGCGACGTAAATAAAATACTTATATGCACGGCTTTTCTTTTCTTAGTTGCAGGGGAAGTTTCAAGTACTGTTATATTTTATAGTAAAAAAGCGATTTTAACGAATAAGAGTGTGTTTATAAAGAACACATTTTGCACAGATAAACACACAAAAGTGTGTTTATAAAGAACACATTTCACACAGATGAACACACAAAAGTGTGTTTATAAAGAACACATAATTGCAAGTGATGTCATCTTTTCAGTTAATAAATCTGCGAATACAAGAGATATTGTTTTTATCAAATAATTAAAACGATTTTATTTTTTTTTCAATTATAAAATATGATGCTATCGATTCTGAAGCCGCCACACCAAACTTACATTAATTTTAATACAAGTTAAGCGTTTTTAAGGTAGAAAATATTTATTTTCACTACCAATAAATTTAATGAGAGTGAATTTATATTTTTTTGAGGAAAGCATTTCTCATGATTGCAATTTAATTCCAACAAATAAAAAAAACATACAATTAATACCCATCCTAAAGTATAGCCTTTATTAAGTGTCTCTTTTATACACTTTATTATAAATTGGTTAATGTGATACTTAACATTTTTCTGAACAATTTTAGTGGGAAAAAAAATAGAAACAGAAAATATTCAAATTACAAATTTAAATGTTTATTTTACGCATGAAAGTAAAAGTAATGATGAACAAAAGTAACATTTTATTTCAATTTTTTGTTGCACAATTCATCAAATTATAAATTTAAAATATACAAAATTTTGTTAAATTTCTAACAAACGCATATAATTTAAACAAATTGAAATTAAGGTCATTAATAATATGTAATAATGAAAATGTTATAAAATGTAAATATTTCCTATAAGAATTAATAATAGAGGGAGTGAAAAAAATTAAAATCAATATAAAAGAACTTAAAACGTTTTTTTTTTTATCTAAACCTACAATTACAATTTAAATTTCTGCTGAAAATTTCAAATTTTGTTAAATTTCTAACAAACGCATATAATTTAAACAAATTGAAATTAAGGTCATTAATAATATGTAATAATGAAAATGTTATAAAATGTAAATATTTCCTATAAGAATTAATAATAGAGGGAGTGAAAAAAATTAAAATCAATATAAAAGAACTTAAAACGTTTTTTTTTTTATCTAAACCTACAATTACAATTTAAATTTCTGCTGAAAATTTCAAATTTTGTTAAATTTCTAACAAACGCATATAATTTAAACAAATTGAAATTAAGGTCATTAATAATATGTAATAATGAAAATGTTATAAAATGTAAATATTTCCTATAAGAATTAATAATAGAGGGAGTGAAAAAAATTAAAATCAATATAAAAGAACTTAAAACGTTTTTTTTTTTATCTAAACCTACAATTACAATTTAAATTTCTGCTGAAAATTTCAAATTTTGTTAAATTTCTAACAAACGCATATAATTTAAACAAATTGAAATTAAGGTCATTAATAATATGTAATAATGAAAATGTTATAAAATGTAAATATTTCCTATAAGAATTAATAATAGAGGGAGTGAAAAAAATTAAAATCAATATAAAAGAACTTAAAACGTTTTTTTTTTTATCTAAACCTACAATTACAATTTAAATTTCTGCTGAAAATTTCAAATTTTGTTAAATTTCTAACAAACGCATATAATTTAAACAAATTGAAATTAAGGTCATTAATAATATGTAATAATGAAAATGTTATAAAATGTAAATATTTCCTATAAGAATTAATAATAGAGGGAGTGAAAAAAATTAAAATCAATATAAAAGAACTTAAAACGTTTTTTTTTTATCTAAACCTACAATTAAAATTTAAATTTCTGCTGAAAATTTCATTCTTTTAAGAAATATATGAGATAAAAAATGTCCTTTTTATTTTATTTTTACTAAATCTTTTTTAATAAATGATTTGTTTTATTGAAAAACATATTATCATTACTAAAATTGATCGTTATTATGTTCCCAATGTATCAAGTAATTAATATAATATTATGCTTCAAATATATGATACATTATTTTTCAAACATACATAATTCTTTTAATTTTCTTTTGTGTAAAATATGAAATTCATAAGACATCAAATAAAATACAAATATCCCGAATTCTGTATTGGTTTCGGTTTAAGAAATCGAAACAAAAACTACGATTCTGTAACGCTAGATGGTACTGCAATAGGAAATAAAAATTAAATTAAATAAACATCATTTCCTCTGACGTAGGCAGTGACGTAATGAAACCGCGCCCTAAAATGACATCTGTTCCTAGAAACAGCTGCTTTTAAGAGGTCAAAGGAAACATGGCTGACACGTGACGCATAAACAAAAATGTTCTTTGTGCTTGTAACTGGTTTGTTCGGGCGTTAACTATTACTTTTCTATTTAGTTTTAAGTCCTTGTCATAAAAAAACAATTTCGTATAATATTTGATTTTTGAGTTCGCCGC